GTTGGGGAGTGCTGATCAACTCATAGATAAGTTGTACACATATCAAATACATTGTGCCTCAATGGCAAATTACAACTTTTAGCAGCTCCCATGTCACAATGTTTGGGAAGGAACTTGGTGATTTGCAAAAGCAGGTAGGGAGATGCATGTGGTTCATAGGCTGTGTGTTGTCTGCCCAATATACAATTAGCATAAGGATATGTGAGGTAAACTGAAGATACACTTTTTAAATTTGCAAATACAGGATCTCAGTTAACTGAAACTCTCAAACAACTGACAAAAATGAAGAAATAATTTAAGTTTAAAAAATCTGTTTTTATTACAGTAAAATGTATTTGCCTTAATTTTCTTTTAATTACTGTATTTCAATATTAATATCAAGTCAATACTGAGCTTGTCGTTTGGTATAGTACGAGGTAAGTATTAGGCCTATTTTTAATAGTAACTCTCAAACAACCAGAAACTACATTTATCTGGCATATACCTCAATTAAACTACATTGCGATGTTGCAGTCACACATTATTCACTCCTAATCTGTGCTTGCTAGAGTCAAGATTTATGCTGAGGTGTTACGTAATCATTTGTAACTGTACAAGATAGGAGGTGTGTGTCTAATCGACATGTGAGAAATTGCTATTTTATATACCATTATCATTTTTTTCAGATGGCCTCATGCAATATTCAATGAAAAAGTTAACTGCAGGAAAAGAGATTCCACCTAAACATTAGGACATTTTTCTGATGATATACTGCCTCAGAGGCATGGTTGGGTCTACTTCTTTGGAGGTTTTAAAACAGAGGCCAAATGATCATCTGTCAGGAGTGATTTGACTGTGTATTCCTTCATGGCAGAATGTGGTTGGATGGGATGGCCCTTGTGGTCTCTTTCATCACTAATTCTGTGGTTTAACAATGTCTCCACAGGGATTCAATATAAAGTTTGTACATGGTTAATTCATTTTCTGTATTTTGGCTCTGCACTTCAAACCAACTAAATTTTACTTTCACTTGTTTCAGTTGTTCCATCAGGTAGTGATCGGATGGCCTAACTTGTATTCACTGCCCATGGACATTTGTAGTTCCTTCCAAAGTATTAAAGGACTACATCAGGAATGTGTGTACTGCAATACTCCTAGAAAAAAAAAGCTGCATTGTTCCACAAAGTGGTTGCATGAACACTATAATCATTAACACAACTAATGCAAGCAACATGCAGCACAATGAGATAAGAGGTGAATTCACTTGTACAGTTGACACTTCTGCATGCACCACTGGGCCACTATGAACAGAGAAGGGCAAAGTCAAACCCTCTGAACAAATCTAGCCAAGAAAACCCAGCAAGAGGTTTGCCTTAGGGTCGTCTTAATTAAAAAACAACTTGAAGGCACACAACAAAATGACTTGCATGACTGGAGTACAAATAACTCTGATTACAATCTGTATGCTGTTTACCTTTTAGTATCCCTGTTTCACTATATGTGTTTTTACCAATACTACAGCTTATTTTCTTTATCTCATGAAGTAGACTATAATCTAGAAAGCTAATGAAACAATAAATGCATTAGCTTTAGAAGAATCATAAACCTGTCATTTTTATCAATCGCCTCTGACATCTCTTTCAGAATTTTCCTTGAATCTCCAGAGAGGCTTTTTAGGGACACAGTCAGCTGCAAAGAAATGCAGAGAGGAAAAATGGATTCCCACTGGAATAAAACCCAAGAGCAGAGTTTCATTCATGAAAAATTTGGTTCCAATCAAGGGGTTCAGTCAGGAGAATTTAACTGTATATAAATCCATTGAAATTAATGGGATAAATTAGTCACCATTTACTAATAACCCAGGACAGGTATATACACTTCTCTCTGCCTCTTACATCTAAAGAGCCTAGGGAAACAAGTGTAGATAGAAATCACAAGAAATCTCTCAACAGAAAATTAAACTTTGGTATAGAACCTAATACAGTACTACAGTAATTGGTAGTTGATATTAATGCTTCTGATGCATCATGCACCAGATATTGCTCTGATGCAAAGTCCATTCATTTCAATAGATCTAAAACAACACTTGTGCTATAGCACATTTTTTTAAAGTGAGTACACGCATTCAGTAATATGTGACAAACGAGAGCTCTGATACCACACTAGATGTATTTTCAAGAATGTTTGCAGTAACTTCAGTAAAGAGCTAGATTGGCATGCACTTCTAGATTTGCTTGGAAGAGTTCCACTGAATTCAACAACGCAGCTTCTACATTCATAGACACCAAAGAAATCTCAGTACATACCTACCTGGCATGGATAAACAGCACTTTAGGCAAGGAATACCTCCAAACATGACCACAAGTAGTTGGCATCAGCTTCATTAAAACTGAAGTACACTATTTATGCTGTTTATAGTGCTTGGTCATGTTTCCTCAATATAAATTATAGTTCTATTAATATAAATAAATGTTCTACTAATCCCCATTTAGCATGAGCAACTGAAAACTAAAAAGGAATATACTATAAAATTATTTGGGAGGAGTTCAGTTTTGTAGGTAGCAGCTAAACAATCTGTCATGCTTAGAAAATTTGGTGGCAGGGGAGAAGGTTAAGGATTCTTACTATTTTTTTCTTACTACCAAAAAAAAGCCAATTGCCAATCTCTTAGTATGAATGCCTCACTAGGATAGCTTGGAAGTTATCTTTATCTGTGGGTCTAGAATGGATCAAAGCTATGCTTGTCTATATCCAGCTGTTAACTAAGAACTCTATAAAAACAGTGGATAAATCCAGATTTATACAGTACCAATATACATAAAAACTAGATAACATGACCTTCAAAAATCTGTATTTTAGACATTTTAAGACTTTCTTTACATCACAGACCATAAAACGATTTTAGGGACACAATGACTTTATATTTTTATTACAATTCTTGAAAATATTTAATGTACATATTTTAATTATGAATGGGTGTGAGTTGTGTGCATTTGTGTACACATCAATTTTAACTATTTTGTCAAAAAAAAACCCCTTCATTTTGAAAAGCTTAATTAAACTAACATGACATCAAGAGTTAGTCATTATTCCATGGTTCCATAACCTTATTTTAATGTTATGAAGGCAAAAAAATCATTTATAAAATAATGAGCAAACAGAAGGCTCAAACATCATGAGGATAATTTTTCTTAATCAAATTCCAAAACTCAACATTAAATGAAGTTAAGCTTTTCATTCAGAATTAAAAATACTTCTTCCAGCATAAATTGGATGTTAGAAAACATAATTTCTAACTTTAAATGCCATGCAGGCCATGTCTATGCGGGTTTTACCCAGCATATCATACTTGATTGAATACTACTAACTTTCAAGTAAGTGACCACAGGAAAGTGTCTCACCCTTCTCTTCTTTCTGAATGCAAACTCTTGAATCTATTCTTCTTTTGATAAGTATCTGATATATATTTTAGAAGGAACACTTATAAGACTCCAGAGTTTCTTTATGTTTTACATGAATAACAAGAGTTTCTTCTCAATATGAAAAACACAATGTTTGGGTCAAGACCTTCTAACAGAGTTTGTATGCTCTTTTTAAAGCACAGTTTATGCCAGAATGTTTTTCTTAATGCAGATGTCTTCTCTGAATATCTTTTTCAGATTCTCAAAGATCACGAAATGTTAGAATGATCTCAAAACAGTCTTCATCCTCCTTTAAACTTTGCCTAAATAGCTGCGTATGTTGCCATGCAATTTCACCATCACCTCCACTTAGTTCTGCTTCCAAGATAACATCTGATACATTGGCAATATCAGGATAAGAGTGAAGGCTTTTATCTATAAAAAAAGAAAAAAACCCAGAAAAGTCAAATTTAAAATCTATGTATTTCTCTGCAAAGGGAATATAAAATCTTGGGCAACATTCACCATTAGTCTATCTAGTGTAAACACAATGATCTTAATTTGCAATTCATAAAACAGATGAGAATATTATCTGCGTCAGGAAGATTCCTAGACATGCAGAAACCAATTAGGAATCTGTGAAGCATGTTCTAATGTACATCCTGAGCCATCAGTGTCTTGAGTATTTAAACTCATTTAGTCCTTCCCTTCTCTTGGATTTTTGCTAGGTCACAGACCTATTTAACACACATCTGATCTGCATTGCTAACATCTGGAAAATGGTGTGTGTGAAGTATTACCCTGTTAAACTGTTCCAGACTGAAGTTGGGTTAGATGAGCTGCCACAATCTCCATGACAGAATGTAATATGGAAAATGCAAAACATTCCCATTTAAAAGAAGAGGATCAAGATGCATTGTTGTGCAATCATGCAAAAGATTTCAGGGGGAGAATGGAAATTAGGAAAGCAAACAATGCCAACACATCCTCAGGGACGGGCAAGTTGCTGCACCAGAAAGTACATTGGGGAGTGGATGAGTGAAAAGTGGGTCAAAGAAGGTTATGGGATGGCAGGGGGAGCAAGCAGGCTGTGTTTTACTTGTAGTGTTAGGCAAAAAGATGGAAAGGCATTTATTAAGTCAGCAGCTGCAGTTCCCTGCTGGATAATTCTGCTTGGATGGGTAGCAAATTCCACTGTTTGACAGATCCATATTTTCCAATTTGATACTCTATGTATTCAGAAATGTATAGTTTCCTTTTCTAAATCCATATTAAGAACACAATTGCATGACTACAGAGAAATACGTCCCACTAGCAAGGAATACAGTCTTGCAATACTGTAGGCACTCACCTAAAAATAAATCCCAACAAACACAGTGGGGTTTAGTTCTGAACAAGCTTACATAAGACTCCAATGTAAGATTAGCATGAACATTGACCAGAAACTTATTGTTGCATAAGCAAATATTGCTATTCAGTTCTGCAAACCCGAATGAATGGCGCTTCCAGCCATGACATTTGACAGGATGAATGACAGAATGTTGGATTATTAATATTAATATGAAAAATTGGACACAGATGCATCCATTTTTAATTTTAGATGTTCTGCTTTGTTTGCAGGTACACACTCAAAGAAACAGAAATTTCACACTTGCCTCCATAAACATCGACAACAGTGTCTCCAGAACGCAGTGTCCACCTTACTCTTCCACTCTGAAACGTCTGACTGCTTGTTCTGACTGAAATGTTTTCTATTTTTAGATCAACTGAGCCACACTCAAATTTCCAGCTGATGTAACCCGACAAGGATCCTTCTTTTCGTGCTAAATAAACCTAGTTAGAAATGAAAAATGTACAAATGAAGCACTGCACTGAGCTGGGGGTCTTAAAGTTGGAATCTCTTATGCTATTGGGTGGTTGATTTAGGAGTAAGCCCATTCAGTTACTACCAGGACACTGTCATGAGGCAGTTGATGGAAATCTTACCTGGCTCATACCCTTAAAAGCGCTGTATAAAGAAATGCTTTGAAGAATTTTCACAGGTCATCCTGCTTTTAGAATGGAATCATTTGGGTCCCATTTCATATTACAATTATTGCTCTGCTAGGGATTTTGAGAAAAAATTATAAAGTCCAATTCCTTGCAAGGAGTTATCCATGTGATGCTAAGTACACAAATCCGCCTATCATAACATTGCTGCCAAAGTTAACTGAAGAAGGGATGGATGAAGAACCAGGACTGGATTTAGTTCCTTGTCCTGCAATAGTGAAGCCCCTTGGTGGCGCAGCACATTAAACACTGAGCTGCTGAACTTTGGCAGTTCAAATCCTGGGAGTGGGGTGAGGTGCTGTTAGGCCCAGTTTCTGACAACCTAGCAGTTCAAAAACATGCAAATGTAAATAGAGCAACAGGTACCACTTCTGCAGGAAGGTAATGGTGCTCCATGCAGTCATGCTGGCCACATGACCTTGGAGGTGTCTATGGACAACACAGGCTCTTTGGCTTAGAAATGGAGATGAGCACCACCGCTCAGAGTCAGACATGACTAGACTTAATGTCAAGGGAAAACTTTATCTTAACCTGCAATAATAATTAATGCAATTGGGGCTAGTGAAACACTTGTCTATCAGGGGCTGCATGCAAAGACATTACTCAACAAGGGGATCTTTGCATACAGTTATCGAACTAGATGCAGTGGTATTCAAAACATTGGGCAAGGACAAAGCTTGATGCTAGGTCAGGCCATCTGTTCGGGTTATTTTTTACAGCTTATAACTGTTAAAAACACTTAACAGTTGTGTCTAGATCTAAGGAAGTAATGCTACCCCTCTATTCTGCTTTGGTTAGACCACATCTGGAATATTGTGTCCAATTCTGGGCACCACAATTCAAGAGAGATATTGACAAGCTGGAATGTGTCCAGAGGAGGGCGACTAAAATGATCAAGGGTCTGGAGAACAAGCCCTATGAGGAGCGGCTTAGGGAACTGGGCATGTTTAGCCTGAAGAAGAGAAGGCTGAGAGGAGATATGATAGCCATGTATAAATATGTGAGAGGAAGCCACAGGGAGGAGGGAGCAAGCTTGTTTTCTGCTTCCTTGGAGACTAGGACGCGGAACAATGGCTTCAAACTACAAGAGAGGAGATTCTATCTGAACATTAGGAAGAACTTCCTGACTGTGAGAGCCGTTCAGCAGTGGAACTCTCTGCCCCGGAGTGTGGTGGAGGCTCCTTCTTTGGAAGCTTTTAAGCAGAGGCTGGATGGCCATTTGTCAGGGGTGATTTGAATGCAATATTCCTGCTTCTTGGCAGAATGGGGTTGGACTGGATGGCCCATGAGGTCTCTTCCAACTCTTTGATTCTATGATTCTATGATTCTATGATTCTTCATCTTGCAATTTGTCAATCTTTCCTGAGAGTTGGGGCACATGCTCCAATCATTATTTATTTGCAGAGAGAAATGAGCTTAAGTAAGACCGTGATTAATGTAAGTTGACTGTCTTTCGTTAGACTCTACCAATGGGGAATACATATATCAAACAAGGGCACTTTTAATTATTCCTTGTGTGCAACAAGAACAGAAGGTGTAATATAAAAACTCTTTGAATCTGAAAAATTAATTTTCTGGAAAGATGACACTTTACAAAATTATAAGCAGGCCCTGAGAAAACAAAATGCCACACTTTACAGATTTGATTTCTTAACTGTAGCCCACTCATCATCCTGTTCTAAAGGCAATTTGCTTTCATTCCTACTTTGGTCAGCTTACTAGAAGCTTGACATTAATTTTACCAACTCAGAGTAATTACAATCCACATGGAAAAACTGAGCCAAAAATAAAACTTTGCATCCTAATAGTTTGCTTACATTTAAAATGGAGCAAATGGGGGATTTCTTTCTAGGTAGATATCTCACCATTTTCCAGTCTGATTCAACCTTTCTCGATAGGGAGTCCATTCTCCAAACACCTTTCTCCCAGCCATCAATCTTTTCATTATTATTGGAAATCCGTGTGTAACAATCTTTCACTATGTTGTATCTGAGGTGAAGAAGCTTTGAGGCCTTTTCTTTTACAGTTGGCATAAAAATAACTTCTTGACTCTAAATGACCAACACCAAAATACCAAATCAGATTTTCATTCAATATTTAATTAGTGCAGCTAATAATTTAGAACATACATATATATGTGTGAAGTTTTCTACTTATGGTTCTTTCTCTGTCCACAAATGCTAAGTGACAAGGTTATGTTGCCCATTGTATTACCACACATGGCAGACATTGCAAACATGATCCCACATTGAAATTTGGTTTTCTTTCACCTCCAAAATATTGGAAAATTATCTTGCTTCTTCCTCATTCAGTACAACTGATATATATTTTTAAAAACACCTCATTTATGGTATTATTTGGATTACTTCTGCCTTTAGTGAGGTTTTCCTTGAATTTATCTAGATTCTCCAACTGATTCTTTTGCACTTGTCACTCTACTCCCCCTGCTTTTATTTTGTAATTTAATCCCATTTTACCAAACTTATTATTTAATCAAGATCTATTGTATTTTAATTTATTTTAGTTAACTATTACAGGAGTTTTAGGACAGTGATACTGTCTAGTTGTCTATTTGCTTTCTGTCTTTTATTATTGCTATGGTCCCTACTCCTCCCAGAGACTTTACTCTAAAACAGTGGTTCTCAAACTGTGGGTTGCAAGAACAAAAATCCGGTCCGCGAACCTCCTTTGTCTTTATTTATTTTATTTTATTTCCACTCCTTTCTGCAGAGGTAACCAGCTCCACCCCTTTTGGTATTAATGTTGGAGAGTGGTCCCTGGTCAAGTGGGCTCTGGTTAAAGTAGGCCCTGGTCAATAAAAGGCTGGGAACCACTGCTCTAAAACCTCTGGGAAGGCCACCCAGGTGCATTACTGATAAATAAATATAAGACATAAATGCTCCCATCACCCCTTAATTATTGGCAAAGATTGCAATACTGCCTGATTCTCACTTTTTACCCTATACCACTTCCCCCCACGTTTATCTCTACTTTTGTGTTCCTGCCACACTTGTTCTGCATAATTACAACTGTCCATCTCTATTTTAGTCTTCTCAAACTGCAACATTCTTGAAATCCTGCTTCTTCAGCAGACCCTATCCCAAAAGACCAATGATTAAACCTACTTTGCATTATGACTTCACTCTTTGCAATCTATTGTAAGCAGCTCACTGGACCAATTTGCATATGAATTTATTCAACAAGGGAACTCCAATGGAGTTTTCAAGTTGTATGAAGGATGAAGTGACTGTTGGGTTCTGAAAGTGCAGACGTTCGTTTGAGCTGGTTCTATCTGAATACTTGTAAAGACGGAGGATATTCAAGAGTCTGAACCTACTCATTATCTCTCTTATATTTATTCATGTTCTTTTCCCATGCCATGTCCAGATATTCTAACATGGAAAGCTGAACTTTACTGCCTGCATTTTTCTCACTCCTCATCCTGATCTTCCATCACAGAGGGCCACAATAACACTATGTAACACGATTTATGTTTCTGGGTTATAAATGTCATTTCCTAATTGGTTCTATCATATAAACACAGAAAAAAAATATTAAACTGCTAAAACTTTGTTTTTGTGGGACATCCCGCAGCACATTTTTGCTATATTTTTTCAATGAATATCTCATAGAGTCTCAACCAATTCAACCTAGATTGTGGCAGCCACAAGAACCAAATTTTTAGAGTATAACAACTACTTTCAAAGCAAGTACCACGCAATTAAACAGGAAATAACACTTTCAAAGGAGGAACAGTTTTTTTTTTCAAATTTTGTCACATAGTGTAATCAGCACAATTATGTCTAGGAAAGAAATTAGAATGTGAAGTAATTTCTATAGCCAGACTGGCTCTTAACACAATCTGAATGTGCAAGGGATGATCTCATGAAATCATTATGAAATTTTCAAAGGGCATCTAAATCTGCTACATTATTTTAGGCTTACTTGCTTCTTTCTTCTTTGACGTTATTTCTGTTGACTTCCAAGCAACTAACATTAAATTGTAAACCATGTTCAAAGCTTTGGCAGAAAGGCTTAAATCACATCATCTGCTATGTTTTTGACTGTTTGGATCTGCTAGCTGTTATTATTCTTGATTTGGAATAATGGTCAGTTTTTATAAAGCACCTTTTTGCTACAAGTATACCGAAAATAAGGGGGTCATGTCATTTGAAACTGATGTCAATGGAGTTGAAGCATACTTGAAGAGAACTGAAACAGACTATGGATTTTATGAGCAGCCGTTGTGACTAATTACATTATCTTGCAAAAGTGGAAATCCACAAACACACTGCAAATTGAGTGCTTCTGTGAGAATGCTTCCCCCACCCTCTTGTTACACAGGGAAATAATGTTTCATGAGAAGAGCCAAAAAAAACCCCTTAAGCACATGGCCTACCTTTTAAGAATAATATGAGGATTAACCTAACACAGTTGAGCACTCCAACTGCTTTTCACTTATTAACGCATTCACTGTTACAAGAGCCCCTGGTAGTGCAATGGGTTAAACCCTTGTGCCGGCAGAACTGAAGACCGACAGGTCAGAATCCGGGGAGAGTGCGGATGAGCTCCCTCTATCAGTTCCAGCTCTCCATGCGGGGACATGAGAGAAGCCTCCCGCAAAGATGGTAAAATATCAAAAGACATCATGGCGTGGCCTGGTCAATGTCCTTGCAGACAGATGGCCAATTCTCTCACACCAGAAGTGACTTGCAGTTTCTCAAGTCACTCCTGACACAAAAAAATTCTCTTAAACCTTTCTGTGTGGTTTCTAGCTTGTTCTTGTGTAGCTGGGATAATTC